TTGTGTAACATAAATGTGTTAAATATTTTTGACACAAAAATTTTAACCGTCATATTTTTTAACAAGAAAACAAATTTTTCAATTGTGTGGAATCCAGTCTATATCGCGGAATTGGGCAGGATTTATCACAAAACCTAGTTTATTTTATGCCTTGCTAGGATATCTTTACAGGTGCATTAACGCGGAGGATTACCTTCTGACAGTGGCACAATCACCTCGTTCCGCGCTGAGCAGGAAATGCTTCTCGACCGGGCCAAGAACATAGTCGACAGGCGTCTGTAACGAGTGCACTGAATACGATCTCACCTCGTTTGAGAGTAAATCTTGCTGCGATTCCGATGGATTCATTTTTCTGTAACATATTCTCGCAAGGCTATTCACTACTGGACGAAGTGTCGAAATTATAAAAATTCCTTTCTAACTTCATCTAATTTCCATAATTTTTTATAACACTGACATTATGCAAAATGTCTTCAAACAAATCGAATGTTTCTTCAACTATAGATTCTTCAACCGATTTAGAATCGATTTTTCCTCGATGAAAATATTAAGGCACTAATATTTTTTAAATAATGAATTATTAAATTAAAAATAGAATTAAAATTAAACAAAGAAATAACAAAATTATACATATATTTTGCGATTTGTTTTGAGTAAAGTTTTTTACTTTATTCAAAAATCGTTTTTTATTTTAATTTTTCAATGATTACATATTGAAAACTACATTGAATACTGTTTGGTTTTCTTTTCCAAATCAATATTTTTTTCTTTTTGAAAGTATCTTTTTTATATTTTTTGTATTTTTAATAAAACATAATTAAATTACTGTTATTAATTAATTAAATTTTTAATATATTAAGACAGAAAAAAATTTTAACTTTAGTGATGTAAATAATCCCACAGTGCGCAAAATCAGAGAGTTAATATAATAAAATTTCAGCTTTAAAGCTGAATTATATAGTTCAAAAAAGGTAAAAATTGGGCACAGATACAAAATAATGATTTTTGTTCCGACATTTCGCATGAAGATATTACTTGCTTAAATTAATTAAATCAATTTAAAAAAATAGTAATTAAAAGGACATTTGATAGATATCGTACACATTTCAGCATAAAAATTATGAAAATTGGTTAATTTATGAAATTTACAAATTAATATAAAAAATTATGATATCCTATACAATATAATGTTTAAAATTAGTATTACAGAGAAATTATTAAAAATTATTATAAAAATTGTAAAATTTACATGTTATATAAAATATAGTCTACCATATTATCAACGTTCACTCCATTATATACATAGAGTTTGCCAAGAAAAGAGATTAAGCATTCTAAGTTAAAGATTAGCCGTCCGCAAAATTTTTTCTCACAAAAATAAAATACAAGAAATCTGTTGTACAATATGTAATCTTTAGTTTGTGCTAGATGTAATAATACAAACGGGATAGATACAGATGTATGCTATGATACCGCAAAAATAGGGCTTCCTACGTTCACAAATACATTACAAGAAATTTAGATCAACTAGGACAGTAATTTTCGAAGAGGTTTTGCAGTTAATAGTTATAAAATATATACATAGATTTTTAAATAAAAATATGCTATTACTATTTATTATAAACTACTAATATAAAGTTCCGCTAACAATAAAACAATAAACAGCGTTTATAAGATTTGATCGCATAAAATACGGAGTTAGTTAAAATTTTCAATAAAAAGAATCTACTAAAGCAAAATATTTAAAATTTACTATTCTATTTAAAATTAACTATTAAATATTTGAATTTTACTTATTTTCTTTAAAAACTTAATTTATTAATATAACCTCTTATTGTCAATTGTTAATTGCGCGAATATTAAAAAATAAAAGAATATGTAATAAAAGATATCTGATACGATTTTCTATGCAGAACACCCCCCAAAACTAGAACAAATATTAATACGCTCTTTTATATCTTTTTATATTTTAAAAAGGTAGAGAGAAAAATGTTTGTGAATAAAGAGACAATATCTTGTTGCAACTTTTCTTTCATTTTTTGCAAAACATATTACTAGTATCATATACTTACGGAGTGGTTCTTTTTCTACGTCAATGTTAGCATGCTTGCACAAGAAATGCTAGACCTAGACTGTATGATCGCGTCTACGCATGTGGTTCGGCGAAACCTTACGACGCTATCAGCCAGGCTGATCTTCAGAACGCGGATTAAGCACAGGGTGAGGTGTCGCGTGTATTGAAAGAAAATAGCATAGAGGAAGACTCACCACAGAGAGAGCGGTGACCGTGTCGCACATTGTCCAGCATTGTACAGCATTGACACCGGCGTTATCACCGCGGCGGGGAGATCGGAAGAAAGAGAAAGAAAAAGAGAGAGATGATCTCTTTCCTCTAACCCCCCGATTAATGGATCGCAAGAGATTCGTGACGGCGAATAACGAGTAAATCCAAAGCTTATATGCCGCCGACGCGCTCCGGCACATTATTTTTCATTTCCCGCCGCCGCGAATTTATTCTCTTCCGCTCGTCCTGTGTGATTATTTATCTCTTCCAGAGACGTGTGTCACTTTCGTTTTTAGTGTGCTACATCTGTAACAATTCAAGAAATCGAAAAAGAGTGAAATTGATGTATACAATATCCTGTAATATATGAGAATATGTGTGAGATATACACTGAAAAAAATGTACTAAATCTCAAAAATATTTCTTTTGATCTAAAAAAATTATTCATTTAAATACTTGCAAAAGAATTAGTTAAAAAACATAGATTTTCTTTATTTTAATAAATAATTTTTTATCGTCAAATATATAAATATTTTGTTATATTAAAATTTTAAATAATGTAATTGAAAAATCATAATTTTTATTATATGCAACTAATAATTTATTTAATATAACAAAACATTTTTGGAAATAAAGTATATATTTATTTAAGTAAAAAAAATCAGAATTAATAGAATGTATTATTCATTTGATTAAAAACAAATTTTATTTTTAGAGTATGAAAAAATATATTTGATATGTTGTAACACATACAAGAATGTACACTGGTACATTCCTGTGATGTTGGACGTTCGCAATCGCAATTATCTCTAAGGCAATGATAGATGGGAGAGATAAATAAAAATTGTAATAGATGAAAAACTTTATTTTACTCTGGTGTAAAAACTACTTGTGAGGCATACAGAAAAAAAAACGCAAAATTGAAAGTAAATTAGGAAAGTGTAATAGTAGCACTAATTGTAAGCGATACACGATAGAAACGAATGTAATATAATATAAAAAACAGAATGATAATCAAAACATTATACTCTAATAAAAATATATAATAAAAATATATTAAGAAAATATAAAAATATGGTGTGTAAAGAAATAGAGCACAAAGATAACTATTATAATATTTGGATAAAAGCTGAATTAATATATGATAAAACGAGAAAAATGAAGTGTATATACAGAAGAATTAACTACCAATTTTCATCTACGTGAGTTTTTTATACATATAATCAATTTTGAGTTAATGTTTTTCTCAGAAGCAAAAGTCAGAGTGAATAATGGAAAATCATGCAAATCTTTTTCACTAAAACATAAATAAATAAATTTCTCTTTGCATATCACAACTCGTGTTCAACAGAATACATTTATGAAATGCGTCGAAGATCCTCTCTTTTATTCATAGATATTAATAGCTGTGAATCTTAATCAAATAACCGAGATAGGTGAATTATGTAAACAATATTTTTCCAAAAATTGGAATAAGTGCATAAGAAAATGTAGTTAAAATTATTAAAGAAAATGGATCTCTTTTTAACAAGATTTGTAAAAAAACAACGATTAATTTAAGAAGAATAGGACAGGTGTTTTGTACAAGAAACAAGTTCACATCCAGCCACTTTGTTTCTTTTTAATTATATGTAGTTACGTAATAAATTTACATACATCATAACAACGGCATAGGCTATCGGGGACAATGCATTTTGACATTGTGACAAATTCTTATAATACTTTATCATATAGGCTCGAGCTGGATCGACTATCGATCCTACTTTTTATACGCGAGACCTACAGCGAATGCGGTTAGATGAAGTAGTACGGAGCATTAATGCGCATATAAAACGTCACTGCGTACAAAGTGACATAGAATCATTTACGCACGGCGATATAAACGGCTCGCCAAATGATGCTCTAAATGATCTGACTATAAATCACTATACCAGCTGACAGAAATGGTCGTAGTTACGCAGAAAGAAACCCCTACACCAAAATTGGTATAATTAAGATAATTTTTTGGACACACAGGCCATTTTGTAGAGATTAACATTAAAAATAAAATTTCACAATATTAAACCAAAAATAAAATAATTGTTTTTTAACAAATGATAGTTGTTTCTTATTACAGTTTGTTATATTATCCATAACATAAAATACACACAGTTAAAAAATTTATATTTTCTTGTTAAAAAATATGCCGGTTAAAATTTGTATGTTAATAATTCAACACATTTATGGATTAATTTAACATATTGCTATGTGTTAATTGAACTCAAATGTTAAATTATTAAAATAACTAAAAAAATAAAATAACTAAAAAAAATAAATAACTAAAATAACTAAAATACTAAAAAAATACTAAAAACTAAAATAACGGCATAGAAAACTCGAAAAAAAATTTTGTCACGGAAACAAAGCTTCCTCTATGAGGAAGCAAAAGTATAAAAATAACACAATGTGCACATATTTTTAATACACAATAGATACGTTCTGTATTATTAATGACAGGATTTACCTGTTAAAATTTACAGAGAAAATGTTGATTTTATTCTACAAGATATGTGAGAGTGACTACAGACCGTCAATATTTTTTTTTCCAAATTAATTTTATCAATTAAAATATGTTGATTTTACACAAAATTTATTTCAAATTACTATGAAGTTTGCATTCATTTCGTATTGAAATATATGTTAAATTTAACTCAAATTTTCAAACTGTGCAGCAACATTTTTTTTGTAACAGCAAAAATTCAAAAAAAAATCACCGTTGATGCTTCTCTGCGCAACTATGTTTTCATGCCATGCCTATGCACTTGGTGATTTAAATTTAGACATCTTTAGACGACCTTTAGTCACATATACTAGTGCGCGCTACTGCATTCAACCGAATTCGCAATTCGCGCCGACACAACAGAAAAAGTGTGCACGATTACAATACGAATCTTTTGTATGCGATTACATCGACGGTGTTTCAAAACGACGAATCGTCAAAAAATCATTTCTATGTACATTGAATATGTTAGTGAGGCAGAGGTGGATGTACAGCGCTGATACCCGGTATGACATTCGCGGCTCTGCATTCGCTATCAGTTTGCTGTAAATATTCATCTGTTATTTTTTTGAAAATAAAACAGATTAATACTTGCATGGCCGGCTAATCCTTTAGCTGAAAATACCATGTGTATATTAATCCAATAATTAATACATATAAGCAAGGTAGAATTATAAATAAATAAGTAATTATATAGCTATTTCTCATTGTTGTGAAACATTGTATTATAAAAATAATATATCAGAATAATATATTATATGATTGCATATAGAATGCATTTTGTTTATTGATAATTTTGTAAAAGTCTTTTAGCGTACAGCTAGAAGAGATTAAAGAATATTCATTATTTATCAATGGATTTATTCGATAATATGCTGTATAATATGCATAATATGAACATAAAATAGACAATAAATTTAGATATTAACGTTAATAAGCAATGTAACAAAGTTGTACAAAAATTACTGCAAATTAATCAATTTAATTTCTGTTCCTTGAAAAAAGAATGTAACGACAAGTTCCATCATAGAAAAAAAAGATTAGAATTCTCCAATAATCGTCCTTAATTTGAATTGGCAAAGAACACAAGGAACAGAAGCAAACTATCTGTGGATGGATCTCTTATTGTTTCTTCATAATTTTGTAACAGAGATTCTGGCGGGAATTTATATCGCAAACAAATTGGTGTTTGTTCAATTAGTCGATGAAATTCGCTTAAGTACAGGTACGGACTGATAGTAATGCGATCCGGTCGTCATGTCAAAGCCAAATTGCGTTTCGGTCGCGGTGGCCAAAATCAATTAAATAAACTGGAATGCTGCGATCCTCGTTGACATCCGCTATCGAATCCACAGTGACTCTGCACAGAACGATCTCGGACCTCGGACGAGTTGGACGAGAGTAGCGCGCCAGTTCATTCGCGATAATTCGAATCGGTCTCGAGGGCATCCAAGCTGATCCCACCGGATGTGATCTTGTTCAAGTTGTTGCAAAAACGAAACAGCCTTGTCACGTCCGGATGAAGCCCCGCATCGCTGATCGCGCCGTTTGACATGAACGCCGAACAAACCGCAGACATATCGAGATCGGCCGGCACCATTTGTATATTGCGACCAAACCTGTTTCAAACGGAATTCATTTCTTTATATTTCTCGATCGTGATTATATTCTGATTACACTGTTTAAAAATTTGACTTAAATTTAACATATATCGCATGTCGCAAACGGTCCATATAAATTTTTGTGTTAATTTAACATAATATGGATATATTAAATGGTCGTAACACTAATACTACGAGTATGTGGTAACGCCGCGGGCTGGATGATGCAATCCCAACGAGATCTGAATAGTTTGGATAGTTGTAGTAAAGGACTTGAGGAAACAATGCGTTGCTTAAAAACTTTTATAGTGCGTGTTTATTGCGAATTGATGAGTGTTAGAAACATTCATAATGCTTTGTGTGAGGTTTGAAGCAAAGTTGCATTGTTCAGGTGAATCTGTTTCTGTGCAGCAGTCAAGCAGTGAGAGACTCATCGGGCGGAAATTTTTCTTTTTTGCAAATCGTTTGTCAAAATATGAAATACTGTTTGATCACCACAAACTTCACGCAAAGCACTGTGAATGTCTGTTTGATTTTTGGCTACGTAAAGTTTCAATCTTAATGTACGATCATTGATCTTCAGACGTCACAGTATCTGAAGCATCTGCAGAGGCCATTTTTAATACTAGTCAATTCACAATGAACACGCACTATGGAAGTTTTTAAGCCACGTACCGCTTCCTCAAGTCCTCCATTACACTGTCCAAACGTTTTGTTGGGATTGCATCATCCAGTCCGCGGCGTTACCACAATGTGCATTACTTATGAAATGATCCTCGTATGTTAATATTTCAACACAAAATTAATGCAAACTTCATAGTAATTTGAAATAAATTTTCTGTAAAATCAACATATTTTTAATGATAAAATTAAATTGGAAAAATGTTATTCACGATCTGTAGTCACTCTCACTGCTATTATAGAATAAAATCAACATTTTTTCTGTAAATTTTAACAGGTAAATCCTGTCACTAATAATATGAAACATATCTAATAGATGCACATTGTGTTATTTTTACACTTTTATCAGTTGTTTTAATAATTTAACATTTTAGTTCAATTAATACAAAAATGTTGATTTTATTATGTTAAATTAACACATGAATGTATTAAATATTTAACACAAATATTTCAACCGGCATATTTTTTAATAAGAAAACACAAATTTTCCAACAGTGTACGATATTAATTCTATTTTTCTCTTATATGAGAGAGAAGCCTCTCAGAAGATAAACTGATCAATACCATTTTTACTTTTAGTACTAGAGCACTAATCATGTTCTTTAGCACTAAAATTAAAAAAATGTATTAAAAATGGAATTGATCGGTTTGTGTAGTTTCTGAGAGGCTTATATAATACTATTATTTATAATCATTACTAAATTCGTCGATCTATAGCCTAATGTCATATCGAAAAATATACGAGTTAAAAGTAGAGAGAAGATATAAAGAAGAAAACATGAAACTTGATGTACTCTCGTGAAAAAACCTTTATATCATTTTTTTCTCATTTATGTATTTTTTCCTGCTTTGATGTCATTTGACGAAGCGCATCACGGTGTAATTTAGATAAAAGCGAGATAATGCATTGAATATAACTGAGAAAAATGATTGTGTTATATATACATGTGTGCTGAACTTTCCAATGTCATGACGTAAGAAGAAAACAACAATGAGTAGATACGGGTCTCCGGTGAATCCGTTATACTTTTGCGTCATCGTCCATTTTTCTGCTTTAGAGACTTTTCCGAGACACGAAACAAGTATTATGCGTCTTGTCCCTGCGTATACTTTTCCCCCGTATCTTTCGCGCACTCACCATTTTGATGATAAATAATGATAATAATCTCGATACTTTATAGGTCACACGCGTACTACACCTGCGTTCTCGTTATTTGTGCATGCTATAAAAATTGCTCGCAATGCTCGCAATTTCTTATAAAGCAAACTTCATAGTAATTTGAAATAAATTTTATGTAAAATCGATATAAAAATCAATATTTTTAATGATAAAATTAACTTGGAAAAATGTTATTGACGGTCTATAATCACTTTTATTCCTATTGAATAGAATAAAATCAACATTTTTTCTGTAAATTTTAACAGGTAAATCCTGTCACTAATAATATGAAACATATCTAATAGATGCACATTGTGTTATTTTTACACTTTTATCAGTTGTTTTAATAATTTAACATTTTAGTTCAATTAATACAAAAATGTTGATTTTATTATGTTAAATTAACACATGAATGTATTAAATATTTAACACAAATATTTCAACCGGCATATTTTTTAATAAGAAAACACAAATTTTCCAACAGTGTACGATATTAATTCTATTTTTCTCTTATATGAGAGAGAAGCCTCTCAGAAGATAAACTGATCAATACCATTTTTACTTTTAGTACTAGAGCACTAATCATGTTCTTTAGCACTAAAATTAAAAAAATGTATTAAAAATGGAATTGATCGGTTTGTGTAGTTTCTGAGAGGCTTATATAATACTATTATTTATAATCATTACTAAATTCGTCGATCTATAGCCTAATGTCATATCGAAAAATATACGAGTTAAAAGTAGAGAGAAGATATAAAGAAGAAAACATGAAACATGATGTACTCTCGTGAAAAAACCTTTATATCATTTTTTTCTCATTTATGTATTTTTTCCTGCTTTGATGTCATTTGACGAAGCGCATCACGGTGTAATTTAGATAAAAGCGAGATAATGCATTGAATATAACTGAGAAAAATGATTGTGTTATATATACATGTGTGCTGAACTTTCCAATGTCATGACGTAAGAAGAAAACAACAATGAGTAGATACGGGTCTCCGGTGAATCCGTTATACTTTTGCGTCATCGTCCATTTTTCTGCTTTAGAGACTTTTCCGAGACACGAAACAAGTATTATGCGTCTTGTCCCTGCGTCTTTTCCCCCGTATCTTTCGCGCACTCATCATTTTGATGATAAATAATGATAATAATCTCGATACTTTATAGGTCACACGCGTACTACACCTGCGTTCTCGTTATTTGTGCATGCTATAAAAATTGCTCGCAATGCTCGCAATTTCTTATAAATAAGTATATACACCTAGTCTGATGACAGAGTCAATATCATTTGATACCATTTCCTACACATTGTCTAATACGACAGATACGACATATAATGATATAACATATAATGTTTTTCTATATACATAATTTACTTCTAGTAAGAGTTTAATACATCTCTTAATAGCTACGAGATAAAAAATGCAATGAAACAAATACCTGATGAAATTAAGATCATTCTTCCCGCGTTTGGGTTGTTCACCATTTGTGGTCTTGAAACCGGACCGACCGAATCTGATCACAACATCCGGCGATTTCCATCGTGGATGCCTGCTGACCTTTGAATCGATTTCGTTATCTAATGCCGAATTATCGAAGGCGGATTGACCGCGTCCGAATCTGATGAAGGAGGAACCCATGTTGCTACGCCTCTCCTTAGATTCGGTATCCTCTTTACGATCATCCATATCGGGCTTTCTAACTACATATTCGAATTCGTTCGGCGATTCCTTAAAGATCCTCAGGCTACTATCGTCCTTCAAGACTGAGGAAGACACGAGCATCCAATTGCAGAGGAATGCCATTGCATTAAAAGCCCAGAGTGCAATCTACGATTAAAAATTGCATATCGGCAAAATTGTTGTATATATCTGATTGTATTTCAATTTGCCTCTATAAAATTCATAAAGTAACACGTTATACTACACTAACAATTTTTATTAAAATTCCTTTATTTTGTTATTTATTTGCTTTCTCAAGCTTAATTTGCAGAAAGCTTTGTTTTCTAATTACTGTCAACTCGAAAATTATTGGTATTTTGATATTTTTGTTAAAGAAAAATCAACTGCAGATTAATAAGAAGAATTGTCATCAAAATTAAGAGATCTCGAACAACGTTCATTATTATTAAAGAGAATCTTTACATCTACGTAAGTGCATTTATTTACTGCGCTCTGCTCTTATTATCCTATTTCTTCTAGACTTTTTATATTAAAGATGTCGAGTTGTAAGATGATGTAAATTTCTTTTAGATTTGATCAATTTAAATCTTCAATTTTTTATTAATGAAAACAAAAGAACATTAATAGCATAAGTAAAAATGGAAGCAAATGTAATAAGTGAGAAATTAATTTTTATTTTTCAAATCTCTTGTTCAACAAATATATCTTTGGTCTCTGTCAGAGAGAATTTGCATAGTTGCAAAAATAACATTTTTAATATTAATTCAATAATTTTTACCGTAACTACACAATATATAAAATTATTTAAAAAGTTTGTTGACAAGAATATATATATGTATAAGATCTGAGATATCTAAAATAAAATATATTAAACAAAAAGTATATACATATATACTGCATTAGCCGTAATCATTTTATATTTACGTTTATAATCTCAAGAACGGTTTAAATTATAAACTTGTAGATAATTGCTAAGTAACTTCACTCAATAAATCTGTAATTGATTTGTCGAGATCAGCTAAGTTTGCGTAGTGCAGCAGTAGCGACGTGTCGTCTAACGTGCGTCACGATAAATTATATTGGCGTCTCATTATTCATATTAATATCCTGTTTAACAATATCACGGCAAAGCGAGCAAGATTAATACGATGCCTTACGTTACTTTAATTAATTCTGTACGCGACTGCCATTCATAATCATGTCGCTCACCGACTTTGCTACATGTATCGCTAAAAAGCTGCATTTGCCACTGTTTAGAAAAAATAAGTATTGATGTAGATGTGAGCAGATACTTTAATTAATAAACTAATATTTATTTTTATCTATTTCTCAAATAACATTGCGTCAATATTAATATACTCAATTTTCCGTATAACTCGATACCGAGATGCTTATCATATCTAATCGAGTTATACGCGCCAATATCTGCTGCATAAGGAAATAAATAATGGATTCTTTACTTACTCTTGAATCAATAGCCTTTTCCGTAAAAAAAAATTGTGTGTCTCCAGTAATTTTTACATAATTCACGATTAAAAATAAGAGACTTCCTATGATACCTGACAAATTAATGAAGTCATATTTTTTTCAATAAATTTAGATGATACGGTGAAGGGTAGTCGCAAACATGAATAAATAATGTAACAAAGATTAAAAGATTGCATTAATCTTACTTATTGTTTACAATAAAGGATGAAATTACAACATTTTGAAGTAAGATTTATTGCATTTTGTTTTGACTTCTCATAGAAAAAAAAAAAAATTTTTTTTAGAAAAGAATAGATATTTAAGAATTATTCTTTTGCGGTATTTTTTAAATTTTGAAATCTCTTTTTTCTAAATATTATTAATAAATAACATATATTGAATAAATATTTAAAATAT